TTAGCTGACCCAGATGGGCTAGTCCCGAGTCAGCGACAAAAAACCCGACACACTCGAACCTGGGGGAGGTTCTGGCCACAATGTTGTTGTAAGAGGTGCTCTGACTGGCTGGGTCTTCGCCACTCTGTTGGTATTCCGGGGGGTTTTGGGTCCTCGCCGTTCCCGGTTTGTTCCCTTCCGTTCCGAAAACCCTGTGTGTTCTTTGCCGCACAGATAACTCGTGCGTTTCCCGCTTGTCCCGCTCGGAGGGCACACACACACAAGCGTGATAGTGCATCGACTCACTCCTGGGTGTTTTCGTCACTCGTAAACCGTCTCGGCTTAGTAGGGGAGCCCGTTAACTTGTCAATTAGTGGTTTCAATTCGACCACCGTTGTTGAGACTCAGAGGGTCAAGTTTACAGTTTCCTCCGAGCCGAACAATAGTGATTTCGTATTTTCTCTCTGTGCATATGTTAAAGACAACATTCGGATTGGTTCCGAATTAATCAATATTGCTGATTTGCAGAATAAATATCCACAATTAGCACCTATTAAGCCCATTCAATATACGTATGAGGACGTTGAAGTTATTATCGGACAAGACTACTACCATGCCGTTAGACCCATTGAGTTCATCTTGGGAGATGATAAAAACTCACCGTGTTCCGTTCGCCTTCCGATAGGTTGGGTCTTAAGTGGTCCGTTGCCGCCGTCCGGTAATTCTACTTCTTCGTGTTTCAAGTGTGTTGTTGAAGATTCTTCTCTGACCGACCAGATAAAATCATGGTACGAGTTGGAATCGTATGGTGCTTTCAAACAAGTCGATGCCCGTTCCGCCGCGGATAAACATGCTTTATCCATCCTCAATTCTGAAACCGTTCACAATGGCGAAAGATACATTGTGCCTATGCTTTGGATTGATAGTAATGTCAGTCTACCAAACAATTATTACTCGTCACTGGCCCAATTTAAATCATTGGAGAGAAGGTTAAGTAAAGACCCTGAGCTGCGCGAAAGATACGCAGAAACAATTAGAGAGGACATTAGGAAAGGCTATGTCGTTACCGTCGAACCGCATGATCCACGTAAGCGTTCCGATCGCGAGTGGTATCTTCCGCACCATCCCGTCGTAAATCCGAATAAGCCGGGTAAGGTGCGCCGAGTCCTTAATGGGGCTTCTAAGTTTCACGGCACATCCTTAAATAAGTCCTTATTGGTGGGTCCTGACCTACTCCAAAATTTAATTTTGGTGCTTTTGCGATTCCGTCAACATAAGTACGCCGTCTCCGCGGATATAGAGGGTATGTTCCTCCAGGTAGGAGTCCTTGCCCGCGATCAAATTTCGCTCCGTTTTTTGTGGCGGGAGGATACCACTTCCGATGTGGTAGTTCATCAGTACACTCGCCATATATTCGGCGCACGGGATTCGCCTACGTGCGCCAATTTCGCGTTGCGAAAAACAGCAACTGATAATATGTCCACATACCCTGAGGCCGCCTCAGTCGTAAATGAAAAATTTTACATGGACGATTACTTGGATTCATTCGAGAACGTTACCCAAGCAATTAAAACTAGTCGCGATTTGGTTTCCTTACTAAAATTAGGAGGATTTAATTTGACTAAATTTGTCAGTAATGCTGATGAAATCACTTCAGCAATGAACCCCGAGGAATCCGAAACCTCGCTTTCACCCATCAAGGAAATTTGTAACGGTGCCGAACAATCATCACACGTCTTAGGTCTTAAGTGGAACCATGTGAAAGACACATTGGTTGTTAGCAGAGGCGTGGATCGTCCTCTCGATAAAGCAATAACTCAACGAACCGTCTTGAGTTTCGTCTCTTCTGTGTTTGACCCTGTTGGGTTAGTAGCTCCATACACAGTTAGGGCCCGTCTTTTACTTAAAGATATTTGGAAAATCAGTGGTCAAAGTTGGGACGACGAATTGCCAGAAGACATAAGAGATAAGTTTCTCGAGTGGCACTCCGGTCTCCCTCTCTTAGGGCAATTGACTATTCCCCGTTGTTACTTCACAGAGCTTGTTGATCAAATTGAGCTCCACATGCTCGGTGATAGCTCGCAGGACGTTTTCTGTGCTGTTGGATTTTTGCGTGCGCGACTCGCGAGCTCGCATAAAACTCAAATATCCTTCATTTTTGGTAAAGCTCGCGTTGCGCCCATGAAAGCGCTATCTATACCGAAGCTAGAGCTTCAAGCTGCTCTGCTCGCCACACGACTAAAAGATGATATACTGACCGCCCTTACCGTCTCAATTAATCATGTCTTTATGTGGACAGATAGTACAACAGTTTTGCAGTGGCTAAACTCCACTGAAAAATTACCTGTATTCGTCGCTAATCGTGTCGGCGAAATCCTCGAGTCGACCACTATTGATGAGTGGCACCATGTTCTGAGCGGCGATAATCCAGCTGATACCGGTACGCGGGGGATTTCTTCGGAAGCCCTCAAGGATAGCAGCTGGGTTATTGGTCCGAGCATTCTCAGGACTACTGATTGGCCGTTTATACCCGACGAACGTGTAATCAATAAAATTCGTTTGAAGGGTCCTTCTTGTGATGTTGATAATTGCTTGGAGACATCATCTTCCTTCGTCACCGATGTCACATCAATCAAACATCCCGAACACGGGTTCAATTGGGAAAGGTTCAGTTCCTTTACAAGATATAAACGAGTAGTCGCTTTTATGTTGAGGGTGTTGCCTTCACATAAGCATTTTTGTGGTAAAGACTTACGAATCACCGACCCTACTGAACTTGATATTGCAGAAAGCAAACTGATTCATCTTGCTCAGATGGAATCTTTTCCCGTTGAGTTAAAAACACTCACCGCTGGCAAACCTATTAAGAATAGTAGTAAAATTGCCACATACTCGCCATTTATCGGTCCCGCTGGAATCATTCGTTCCACCGGACGGATTGTGCGCTTAGTGGATACCGAGTTTGATACTAAGCACCCAATAATACTCGACGCCCGACATACCTTAGTTCGTTTGTTGGCCCGCAGCCTCCACCATAAGCATTTTCATCAAGGATTAGATTACATGCGCTCCGTTTTAAATATGAAATTTGCAATACTTGGGTTGCGTCGACTACTTCGGTCTGTCGAAAATCAATGTGTGACATGCCGTAAACGCAAAGCAAGCACCATCCAGCCAATTATGTCCGATTTACCGGTCGAACGTCTCGGATACAAGCAACCACCCTTCAATCATACGGGTGTGGATTACTTTGGACCGCTTTACGTTCCGGTTCGCAGAAGCACGGAAAAAAGATGGGGATTTCTTTTTACTTGCCTCACCACCAGGGCTGTACACCTTGAGATTGTACCGTCTCTGGACACCAGTTCGTGTGTCATGGGCATTGAACGGTTCGTTGCGCGCCGTGGTACGCCAAGCACAATCTGGTCGGATAATGGCACGAACTTCGTTGGTGCGGAAAAGGAATTACTTGCCTGCATCAAGAGCTGGAATGGCGTGGCTCCGACCATTTTTGCACACAAAGGTGTTACTTGGAAATTTAACGCGCCAGGCGCACCCCATCATGGCGGCTCCTGGGAACGCCTCGTCCGAAGCGTGAAGCGCGTGCTGTACGATATCCTAGGCAGTAGGCGAGTCACTGAAGAGGTGTTAGGAACAACACTCTGTTTAGTTGAACAGGCTTTGAATTCGAGGCCAATCACTCCCGTTAGTACCGATTCACGTGAGTTAGAAGCGTTAACCCCAAACCATTTTTTGCTTGGACAACATGCCACAAGCTTTCCTTCGCTTATACCCGGGGAGCACTTCGATCACAAGAAAAGGTACGTGCGAGCGCAGTCATATGCTAACGCGATTTGGTCTCGTTGGCTTCGAGAATATGTTCCCTCGCTGAATAAGCGTGTCAAGTGGCACACTCATTCTGACTTCACTCTTAAAACAGGCGATCTCGTGTGGGTGATTGAGCCCGATAGTCCGCGTGGGTACTACCCTCTCGCCCGAATCGTCAAGCTAAACTACGGACAGGACGGTTGCGCCCGATCCGCCCTTGTCAGGACCGCAACCCGTGAAGTCACGCGGCCGACCGTTAAGCTCGCTCCGGTTCTTCCTTCTTCAGGGGGGGAGGATGTTGCAATGCAAAACAAGAGTGTAGAATAAAACAAGTATAGATGCATATAAAACAAGCACAGTTGGCCGAGCGGCCTAGAGACAAGTCTCTCACGCCGGTCAACCGGGTTCGAGTCCCCCCATATGCAGACCTTAAAACATGTGGACCCGAGGGGCTATAGCCCCATTTGACCGTTTTTTACTGTTTTTTGGTTCTAATTCGGTTCAGCCTTGATTAAGGGTGACCGCCAAAAAGAGCAATTTGTCTCAAGGACATTACCGACCGGTTCTTGTGGCTAGCTTGCGCCGATTTGTACCAAAAACGAACAGATGCTAAAAATGTTGTATGATGTCCTGATCAATAGAAAAATACCGAAATTTATCTATTGCTTGAGTTATTTACCGATAAATATCTCTTATTAATTTACGAATTTGGATTCAATTATTTTCGTTTGGAGATTAGCGAGCATAGGGAGCTTTTTTCATGGGCCGAGTGAGCGAAAAGCTTCTTATGATCGAAGAACCGAAAAACAAAATAGCCCTTAGAGCTACTTTACGACATGCTTTTTTGTCCGACCGACCAAAAAAGTGTAAAAATTTATACTATTTTGGGTCAAATTGGGTCAAAATTTATGATGTTTTGAGAAAGCTCAGAAGATCAATTTGGCAGATACCTGCAAAAAGGTTGACAAGATGTCAACAGTTTCGATTTTATTCTCGAAAGTTCTCAAGCTGGGGAGTGGGGGGTGGGGGCTGGTTAGGCATATTTATGGCTTTGCTGGTCCAAGCCGATTTTTGTTCTATATTTTTTATCTCAAATGTTTGATACAAGTCATAATTTTATCTCTAATTTCTTCCGTTCGCCTTCTTTCTTTTCTTTCCTTCTTTCTTCTTTTCTCAATTGTTTTTGACTGCAGACTAATGAGCGGAAGGGGGCATCGTGGCTGCTGTGGTTCATTGAGAAGATAGTGGGACTGAGTGGACAGCCGCAGAAGACGAACATAGTGGCAGATGTGATCTACCTCTTCCTCATAGTAGTCACAATCGGATACTTCTTCCTCTGTGCCGTCTTCATCACCATCGAAATCAGAGAAGAGCAGAGTGAGCGAAATAAGTTGCTGATAATATGCATCGATTTCATGTGATCGAAGTGCTTGTCGAATAAAAAATTCGTAATTTTTTGAGACAATTTTTGTTGGTTTCCAGAGTCATTTTTCACGGCGTTATCACTGTCAGTTCTAAATCTGTTTCAGATCCGTTACGAATCATATGCTAATAATATTTTGATTTAAGTATCGACGATCTTGACAAGATTTTGATAAGTAGCATGATCTTGCCAAGACATTTCTGAGATCATAATGCAAGTCATAATGGCTACTGCGAGTATGCAGCACTTAAGACAGCACCAGGAGAGGAAAAATCGAAACCCAAGACTCGCGGTACTTTTACCCTTGCAAGGGTCATCGTTTGTTCTCACGAATAAAATGTGATACTTGTTCTCGGTAAACCAAATGAATTTGAAATGTAATTACTATCGGAAACACATTCAGATGGCGAACTGAACTTAGTGAACAACTTGAGATTTCAGAGCAATCAGACGTGAACGTGTGGGAAAAACTGAAAGAAATTCTCATCAATCAGTTCAAGTTTCTCTGGAAGGCTTCCCTCTGCATCGTATTCAGAAGTGAGCAGAGCTGACATTGACTTTCATCAATTTATTGTTTTTCAGTCGCAGCTTTTATGAATTTTGAGAATAAAAAACTGAAGAATTTAAGCTCAAAGAAGCTCCTACTTTAGTAGCTCCAAGTAAGAAAAACTTTAGTCTTGCCCTTTAAATCGAATATGGCAGCCATTCGATCAAACTCATTTACAATTGTCTGCTCATATATTTTTACAAAATTTAGAAGTTGATGCTGCGTAACAAAAATTTGTCTTTTTTTTTAATGAATCGAAATTAATGAACCGATTATCCGTGCTCGTTGCCTAAAAAAAAATGCATGTGCATCTTAATCAGAGAAACAACGATTAACAGCTGTTCTTCGGAAGTAGCTGAGCATCTCGTACATTAAATCTTACCCTCGAGAATAAATTGTCCCAATGATTATTTTTCTTTCTGTTTTAAGATGAGTTGAGAAAACTTATCAACGACGACTTGATGGTGCGGACTCTGTTGAAACACGTGAAGATGTTGACCCCTCTGCCGTTTGTGGCAATTCTGTTAGGTTTCGCCTCCACTACACTCGACATCTTCATAGACTTGAGGACTAACTTCTTGAAGCTTTATTCTAATGTACACGTGGCCTCCTACGCAGAGCCGACATTACTCACATGTGAGGACGAAACTTTTTGTACAACAAAAGTTTCGTCCGATCTACAACATCTTTTTATTCCTCCGCGAACTTCTCAGTTTTATTGTTCCGACTTTTGAAGAAAATGCGGAATATTTATGCCTGGTGTGGTTTTTTTGATTCAGTCAATTTTGGACTTCTTATTTACCAATTTTGACGAAATTTTTAAACCATCTGAAAGATATTGCTATTTTGAAAGATTTATTTGCCCATGTTCATGTTTTGTGAAGTTACAGAGGTTTGAAAATTGCTAATTTGGCCAATTTGGTACAATTAACGCGCGATATATTGCGTTCTTTTATTACGCGTAAGCGCCGGACTAATGCGTTCCAAATTGAATTGATGAAACTCCTTCGGTGCATTATTTCAACAGAAGACAAAAAATATACCCTTTATAGTTTACAATAGCTTAGCGTGAATGGGTATAAAATGAAGAAAAAAAACGTTTTGTCCTTTTTTCGATGATGTTGTCAATTTTCAATCGGTCTTAAAGTGCAGTCCGAACATTCAGGGCTTTGCCGTGATAAACGAGCAGTCTTATTGTTCCCACATTCAAAGAAAGTGACGGAATATTTGTGCTTGGGTGGTCTTTTTTTCAACAGACAAGTTTCAACTTTTTAGCAAGCCATTTTTGACAAAAAAATTTTACATCAAACGAAAGGTATTGTTGTCTTGAGCTCAAACTAAAAAATTGTATTTCACCGGTGATCTATTTTCGTAAAGTTATGGCAATTTGAGATAAATAACGCGGGATACATTTTTGCTATTAGAGAGATTTCGGTCTTAAAAATTGTTCCACAATAAAATGATTAAAATGAGGCACATTATTGTTCCGACTTTTGTAACAAAAGTAACGGAATATTTGTGCTCGGAGTGGTTTTTTTTCTTCACACAATTTTCGACTTTTTAACTAGCCATTTATGACGGAATGTTTTCATATCATTCGAAAGGAATCTTATATGCCAAAATTGTTTGTTAATAGCAGCAAAATCTATTCATTCGTATTTAATATGGCGTATGGGGATGTTTCTTTTTAACAAAAATCTCAATTTTGAAAAAAAAATTGTTTTATTTTTTGAAATTTAAGTTTTTCATTTTTTTACTGCTCCATAGACCTTAAAAGGCAGTCGGAGCAAACAACCAGGGCTTCGCCCTGATTTGAGCAGTCTTGTTTTGTTCTAAATTCAAACTCAAGCTAATTTTTTCGCCTTTTTGACGTTTGTTATTGGAGAGAGTTATTTATGGTCACTTTGCTTGTCGAATCCGATTTTTTTTCTTTATTTTTGTCTCATATGTTAGAAACAAATAATATATATTGATATTGAATATCAAACACTTTTTTTGAATGAAAGTAGTTTAATGAAGAGCCCACTTAACCTTACACAAAATTACGCAAATAAACTTAAACAAGAGAAACAAAATTTTTATGTTCTGTCTAATATTTCGTCTACAAAAATGAAACACTCTGTTTATTGTTCAGTTCGGACCATAACATCAGTTCTGTCTATTACCTGGAGTAACCTTCTGTTAGTTCTGCTGGGTGCCTGGTGCAACTACCTCTCAGACACTATCAAACTCATGTTCAGAGACCTAGATGAAGACGCTGTCATTTGCGAGTACAACTTCTTCATTCACCAACAACAAAAACAGCTGCATCAGCAACAGCGAATCAGGTGAAAGTCAAGGAAATTTGCTGAAAGCACTACACTTTTGAAATTTTCTCCTTAATGTTGAATGCATCAACATCACCAAAAATAAAACTCCGAATAAGATTTGATGCGATGTAGCTAGATCCATTAAGACTTGTGAGTCATTGATCTTAAAACTTGCGAATCATTCGAAGAACAAAAATGAAATTAATGATACTGAATAGTGTTTTTATTAAGCTTAAAAAGTTTGGTTAACAACAGGGTTGAATGCAAATTATTGGTGACCTCTCATGACAATTCTTTTGAAAATGTAAATCTTTCGACTTCATTTGAAAATGAATACAAGGATTTTATTGCAGTCTTTTTAGAGTTTTGATTGATCCGAGCTCGTTGCCTGCGGGATGAAGGAACGAATCTCAGCTAAAAAACAACAAAAAATTCATTTTGTTCTTGACAAGAGGCACAATATCATGGATCTCTGTAAAAGATGAACAGCCGAATTTGGTCTTTTCCATCGTGGACAAATGGTCTTAATTTTAATTAATGCTTGCTCTTTCGAATGTTTCTAACTTTGTTTGCGTATTTGATATCAACCAGACCACAGAGGAACGAATACTCAACTGGCATCAGAGATATTCACAATCACAATGCAATCAATGTGACAAACAGGAGTTCCTATTTGAGAGACAGAGAAGAGGTGGGGCAGCTGCACTCCAGACACAGTCCCACCCCTGACAGAGGGGGTGGTGGGGGCGGGGGAGGAGCACTGAGAGAGGGCGGGGGAGGGGTTTGTCAGACTTGTGATGAAATTGAGATACTCACAAATGAACAGCTTCTGCTGATGTACACTCAGTTGCGTGAACGACTAGGCAAGTTTGAAACATTTCGCAATTTCAGAATAAACGACTAACTTTGACGCCCTTGATACATACAGAAACGCAAGAAAAGGTTTCATAAACCCAAGAAATCAATTTAAAAACTGAAACTGATGCATTTATGAATACACTATGTACCGGAGCTTTCACTAAAAAAAAGAAAAAGGTAAAAAATTTTTTAAAATTGTTGCTGTTTTTGTCGCGAGCGCACGAACTGAATAACATTTTTTAGTGTACACTTCAACTAGTTTCGAGACATGGCTGGGTCTGAACCTTCTCTCTGGCTGCTTGAATTCAGTCTTGTTCCTGTTGCGCTACGTCACTGATGGCGCTGAGCTGGATGTAATTGCTAGACAGGCGTTAATCATGGGCTACTTACCTGTCCTAGTTCAGAAGTGAGTTTGTTTATTAATCTGACTACCCTACTCATGGGCGGATTTAGGATGGGGGGGGGGGTTGGCAGGATTCGACCCCCTGCCGACCTAAATTTGTTCACACTGTCTGATTGTTATGAAAATTGACATGCGTACTGTACCAAATAGGCCATGAAAAACATTTTATTAACCCAGCAAAACCACTCGTTAGTCTAGAAAACTGACGCTCGTGTGCTGAGCTCTCCTAAATTACTATAAAGACCCCAATTCGACAATATTTTCTGCGCCGCAGACAAATTTTTGAAAAAACAGGCCACTGGTGGTTAGAACTATGGATTTGTTGGTTTTGTTTCTTCCGATTTTGACTACCTGTGCTGATGCAATCAACAACTTCTCACCGCAAAACCCAAAAACTGAACTTTGATTCCTGACGAAGCGACGATGAAACAAAATTCTCAATCAAGAACACCTAGTCTGACTATAAGACAGTACGATCGAATAGTGTTTCATAACCTGAAAGCGCGCTCTTAAGGAATCAAGTGTGGCATAATATTTAAACCCTATTGATTATGATTCGCACTTCAAAAAAGGGCTTTTTTCCTTGCCCCCTCCCACCTGCAAAATTTACTAGAAAAAAGTTTCGTTCACGTCTGATTGTTATGAAAATTGACATGCGTACTAATTAGGCCATGAAAACTATTTTTGGTCTTCGTAATTAACCTTGCAAAACCACTCGTTACACTGCAAAACTGATGCTCGTGTGAGGTGGGGGAGATGGGTGGACGGGAAAAAGATCTAGAAAAAGTCAAAACGTTGTCTCAGTGTCGAGAAACACTGGTCAAAAACTTTCCGTTTTTCAGACTAATTTCCACGGAAAAAAACACGTACACCAAATGACACGGCGCAGTTCTTAGGCCTATTTTGGTAACCAGCGAAATGTTATTTTTCAGACAAATAATGATTTGAAGTTGTCTGAAATGATTTAAGTGGTTTAACATTTCAAATGAAAATTTCGCCAAAACGAAAAAAAACTAATCTTTTTAATTATTGCTACCTGTATGAAGCTTTTGCACTAGATGATGGTTTTCACCTTTCATTTATTATATAAAAATCTCAAAACATTGGCACTATCGGTGGCCTTGATTACCTTTTTTGGCTACAAAATTGCGCTTCGAACTATAAATAAACCAAATTTCAAGTTTTCCGAATTCCCAAAATGTTACGAAAAACTGCTTGATTTACTTGTTTCGGAAACTTCTCAACTGATTTGTTAAAGCAGAGTAACAATTTAAAATAGAACTTTGACTAACCAATCTTACAAATAATGAAATACTAAATATCAAACGTGTTGTATAACCAAGCATGCGAGATGAAATAATTTTTCATTACTACAAGCTCCGTTTTTCAACGCTTTATTGTTGTTTCCATTGAAAGATGCTACAAACTGTTCTGATATTTTGATCTCTATGATTAGCTTTTTGATCTCTATGATTCCTTCATTTCTACAGTAAATCCGTAACCACTAGGAAGTTATTATAGAGGTTTTGGTTGATTTCTTAAGAGAACAATGTACCACCACAATACATTGTTTTTGAAAGTAAAGAACTAAGTGAAGACTCTTGAATAGCTTTTATGATTTGTTTTGTTGTTTTTTCCCGGAAAAAGTCTGAAAATGTGCATAAAAGTCTCTAATAACTACAGGTGTACATTCATACATACTGATGCATTTATGAGTGCACTTAGGTATATATGCACTTTTTGAGTTCAATTGAAATGCATCTGCTGAAATTGACGTAAATAGCACTCTCCAAAAACGAAGGTGGAAATGTCGCGAAAAAACGTGAACGATTTCTAGTTTCAAAAGTGGGATTGAATTTTTAGATTTCCAGCGGAATAAAAATTTTACCTGTTGGTCCAGTTTTCTCAAGTTGGGTTAATGTTTTCAAAAAAGCGTCAATCATAAATCGTTCTAAAAATTCAAAAGTTTTAAAAGGCATCTATAGTATCTTTGAAATTCGAAAGTTCAGATTTTTCAACAAAGATTTTAGTTTATTTGCGTTAATTACTACTTTTCCAATCTTTGATTGGCTGTTCTTTTAGCTGGCAGTGTTAGTCCAGTTAAAAAAGAGCGAAAGTCAACTCGTATATCAGGGCGAAACCCTGAATGTTCCGACTGCACTCTAAGGCCAATTAAAATTTTTTTTTTCCAGAAACTTGACGGTAATTTTGACAAATATTGAACGCTAACGATCCCAAATTAGCCAATTTACCAATTTTCAAACCCCCCAACATTACGAAGTTTAATCACAGGTTAAGGTTTTGATACGTTTGAACTCCGAAAAACAATATTTCTCAAATGGTACAAAAAACTTCCGTCAAAAACGCTCAGGCAAATGGTCAAAAATTGACTGCAAAAACCAACCCCCCAAGCATCAATAATCGGCTTTTTCTTCAAAAACTGCAAAAATTAAGCATGAGCTAGCAATCATCATCAAATAGTGGGCTGATATTGTGCATTTCATATCCAAAAGCTCAGTTTTTCCTTATTTACCATTGTTTTTGCCATCGAAAATCACGCTATCTTTCCTGTTAAATGCGCCATTCGAATGATGGCGTTTACTGATACTTTTAAACAAAAAATAAAAATTGAACCGATTGAAATCATCAGATATGCGCAATTTGCTTCCCTTTTAGTGTGCTCCGAGTCAACTCCCAGTTGGGTAATTTGCCCAAGCATATCTACCCTCTACCTACCCGTGCCTCTGTATTCACCCTCATAAACGCATCCAAAGCAGAACTGTGTATTTTTGGAAGACCTCTAACTTACGGATCTGTATGTGCAGTATTCCTGGCCATATGTGTCGGACTGACAACAAGACTCCTTGTGCAGCTATAAAATAACTTTGAGCTCAAATAAATCAAAAGATCAACCTAAAATAATGAGTTATGATCAGACCGGACTCCGTCGAACAGCCAAAAAAACAACACTTCTTGCTGTATGGTTAGCTCCATGATCTCATTTTTAAAATATAATTATTGAGCAGAATGTCTGCACCATTGTCAGTTTCGAGAGAAGGTAAGAGCAGCATAAAAATATATCAGTCTGCTTCAATACAATATGAGAGCTAATGGCTATTTTTAAGGCTGAGCAGAAAAATGTCCTCTCCCGGGTTCGCAGAACGTCAACTGATCGATCCAAGTCACTTAAGGATTCCTTCTATTTCACTGGTTTTTGATGATTTGTTTCATATCTCAGAGAAAGGTAAAAATATTTCAGAGCTTAACTATAAAGTAAAAAGCTAAATTTTTGAAGTATTTTTTCTGTCAAAACTCTTTTTGTCGATAGTTAAGTGCTCCATAAATTTGCTGTTTGAGAATTTTTGAACAAAAATGATTCGTTAACATATATGACCTATTTATCTTCTCGGGTTCGCAAGAAATGCTTGACATTAAATTCCATTCTATGGAAAAATGCTCATCATACAATTCCATTTAGTTTCATAAGAAAAAAAAATGCTTAAAGGTGGCATGATAAGCATAATTGGCATAATTTTTCATTTTAAAGAAATTTATTGAATATTTTTCCTTACAAAAAACTTATTATTTTTTGATTGACTAGAAAGCTTTTAATTTGGAAAACTCAGTGGAAAAAACGTATGGTTCATCTTTTCTACTGATTTTATTGTTACTAAGAAAACGCTGTCTGCACACAAAACAATCCTCGGAACTTAAGGCTATGATGTGCAACACTGAAGCTGAGAAAAAGGGACTACGCTCTAGACAGAAACGTTATGATCATCATGCAATTTCCGAAAATTATTTCAATGACGTTTGCCAAAATAAAGTGGCTCTTTTCCAGCTCCCCCTTTTCAAAATACCGAGTTTCATGAATGTTTTAAGTGTTGTTACGGCTAAATGCGTGAAGTTACGCTGTAAGGTGTGAAGGACAAATCTGTTCACAGCTGTCGATTTGTTCACCACGCCAAATTTCATTATGACACCATTATGACAACGTTAGAAAAGCTTTTCAAAACTTGAATATAAAAAAGGGACTGGAAAAGAGCCAATAAAGTTTTTTCCCTCATTTTGTGAGCTTTTATTCTATGGAGAAACGCTTATTATACGATTAACATTAGAGAAAAATTTGTGACAAGGATTTTCCCCGAAACTTACAAAACTCATTTTTCGACAAGGCACGTGTTCTCAATCAACAAAAAATCAAGTTCAATTGATTGAAAGTTGCCTAAATACGTTTGCACACATAGCCTACAGGGGTGCGGATCTAGAATTTTCTCGATGGGGGCGGCGAATTTTCAAAAACTATTTCAAAAATTTAGTCAATTTTCTTTAGATCGATCAATGATTTTCCGAGCTCTCGCAAAGCACCTGGAAAATTTTGGAAAAAGGCCAAAAAAGGCGTTTTTAGGCACTTTTTGGTTTTTAGGCGCTTTAAAAAAGCACGTTTTTTCGGTGCGCGCTCTCCTCTCAAAATTAGCATATTTTGGCGCCAAAGGCGCTTTAGAAAATTTTTATGGTCCTGAAAAAGGATATCTCGAAATAGTACAAAGGGGGAACCCTTTGGGTCGACAGCGGGTCGAATCCCTGAAAAGGGGGGAGCGTCCACCCCACCCCAAATCCGCCCCTGAAAGTCAGGTCAAACAGTTAACCTAAATTAAAATTTTACGGTGGGCAGTTTTGCCGAAACTTACAAAACTCATATTTTCGACAAGGCATGTGCATTCAATGAACAAAAAAAACTCAACTCATTGAAAGTTGCCTAAATACGTTTGCAAGCACAGTCTACAGGGGTTCGGGTCTAGAATTTTCTCGAGGGGGCGGTGAATTTTCAAAAAAAAAAAAATTCCAAAATTTTGTCAATTTTTTTTTAGATCGACCAAATTAATTTTCCAAGCTCTCTCAATGCACATGGCAAAATTTGGGCACTTTTTGGAGTTAAAAAAGCACGTTTTTTTTTTTTGGCGCGCGCTCTCCCTTCAAAATTAGTATATTTTGGCGCCAAAGGCGCCTTTAGAAAAATTTTAGGTTCTGTCAGGCAAAAAAGGATATCTCAAAACAGCACAATGGGGAAACCCTTTGGGTCGACAGGGGGCCGAATTCCTGAGAAGGGGCAGCGTCCACCCCACCCCAAATCCGCCCCTGAAAATCTAGTCATACAATTAACTTAAATGAAACTTTTGAGGTGAAGGACAAATCTTTTCACAGTTGTTGATTTTTTCATACGCCAAATTTCACCATTATGACAATATTATGACAACGTTAAAAAACCGTATTTTTGACAACCAAGGTGCTCTCAATAAAAAAATTAAATTTATTGAAAATAACCTAGAAAACAACGGAACCAAACGAATTCTAAAATGTTTTTATGGAAAAGTTTAGGCATACAATTTACATATAAGAAAATTTTGTGGTGAGCCTTTTTTTGGCAAGAAGAACAACCTTGTTTTTGACAGTCCCGTGTAAAAAACGAAAAATCACATAAAGTCATTTAGCTGCACACTAGATAAACACACTAGAATTTAAGTAAAAGAAAAATGTGAAAATTAGAGAAAAACTGTTCGACTTGTGCTGGAATTGAACCCCTGACCTGGAGACTAAGATTATTATAATCTTATCTGCGCCATGGCTGCTTGACAATCTCTAAACACTAGCCACCAATGAAACGTGTTCAACAGATACTTTTTAAATGCCAATGCTATGTTTGCACGGGAAAGTATCACCAAATGAGAGTTTTTATTTGCGAGTGAGAAAAGGAATTCGTGAGTTGACACAACGCTTGCTAGCTTTCAAGTCACCCAAGCTTGAATCCTTATTAATTTGCTCTTTAATGTCAACGCGAAAATATATTTCAGTGGCATTCAAGCATTAGAATAAGTGTCAACGAGAACAAACTTTTAAAGATGCAGACACCGTAAACTTTTTTGAGCTAGAAATCACTAAATTTTTAAAGCTTTATTTCTACTTAATTTACTAAAACAACACTTAAAAATAAGAAATTGCTCGTTTAACAAAAATAATAGCGTGTTTTGCGGTAGAAAGATATGAAATTTTATGAACAGCTACCAGAGAGAGAGAAGTATTTAAAACCTCCAGGAAATCATAAAGTTGAGCTTTTTCTAATTTCATACTAAAATCAAATCAGATTAAAAATTTTTGATAACCAAAATTTTTTCTTACAATTAAACTAACCTTATTTGAGACACAGATGCTAAGTTCAACTTCAAACCTGATTGGTTCATTTATAACAAAAGTCTGCGTTCATCTTTTTCTTTTAGAAAAAATTCACAGAAATTCAAAAGCTGATGACATGGCTAAAAAATTCTTTTTTTAAAAAGTTTCATTTTTGAAAAAAATCAAACAAACTTTTACCTAATGCATTTTTTAAATCTTTTTTACTCTTGAAGAAATCTTCAACATAATAGTTTATTCTTAATCTATTTTATTCTTTATCCATATCTTTCACCTTCATTCTTTGAGTACTTCTTCTAAGATTACAGGTGAATTAAAATCTCTTTTTAGAACTTTTAGTAAATTTTTCCATATAAGCCATAAGAAAAATCAAACTTTGATAAAACTTTATTAATAATTAAAAAACACGATACAACGAAGACGAAATAAATTCCGTTTCTGCAAGGACGTTTTGTTTTATTCTTGAAAAGAGAAAACTGCAACCTCATCAGGCGAATTTAAGGGTGTACTAATGCTCAGCTCGCTGTTTTTTCATCATGGATTTACATGAAAAACCCTAACTAAAAATACTTCAACATTACAAACAAAAAATTTTAAGAAAAAGAAAAGATTTGGAATTTTTGGACTGATATCAATCCTGATAAAAAACGAAGTTTATTAACTGTGAGTAACAATACGGAATTTTTAATGGAAAAAAAAGCCTTTTAACGTAAAACATAGCCGTCAGTGTTTGCTAAAATTAACGCAATTTGAGAAACATGGATCAATAGCTAATTTTTAATAGCGCTGGGAAATGGGAAAATCTTTAAAATGAAATTCACATTCAAAACTAGAATCCATTGACGTTCTTCGTTCTCTTTAAGCTTTTGATGATCGATGATCGTGGAGTTTACTTTCCTTTTAACAATAGCAAAGCATCGAATTTGAAAAGAAATCACAAGTTGCACCGCGAAAAATCAAAATTGAGCGAGAAAAAAATTTAAGACTTTTTCCTGAAAAAAACCAAACAAAAAATTAGCAAGACCTATATAAGAGTACTCACTTAGTTCATTGCTCTTAATCAAACAGCGGAAAACCAAAATTTAGCGTGAATAAATTTTATTCGTTACATCCACTGACACATAAAAACTCGATGATCTCGATGGTATAGATTCTCTCTGATGAATTTCGTCCGAAACCTACCTGCACCGCAGCAGTGCGAGACAGTCCTCCAAGATTCGCAATCTTCTCCAACAAAGAAGCAATCAGAATCAATTTTCCCGGATGCTCAATCTCTTGCAAATTCTTATGTAACTTGACATCCATCAGTTTTCGTTCCTTGCTCAAAATCAAGTGTGAACAATCTTTAGGACATTTTCCTGATAAAAAAATATCACGACCTATATAAGTCTCTTCAGAGCTTTCATTGAAACTTATAAAACAAACATATTTCTGGAAAATATTCAGTCAAAAACAACGTCACTCTCAATTCCCAAGCGAAATATGCCTTTAGAGACAAAGCAATTAGGTCAAAAATTAATATTAAATTCACTGGACTGAGATGCATTTTTGTTCGAAAACTTTTAGACATTTTGAACCAAAAAATAGACCATCACCTTGAATCGATCGATATACAAATGATTTAGCTCAGCTTTTGAGATAAACGTACACGCAAAATCAGGTTCCACGCATAATTCTTAAAATTTCAAAAAATTGTCCAGGTATTGAGAAAAAAATGTTTCAACAATCTTTAGTTTCATTTCAATTTCGTCGAGTAAAATAAGCTAGCAGGCTTATTTTAGATGGATGCACTGTGTAATTTCAAGTTCGAGCAAATAAAGCAAGAGAACAGGCTTTCTGAAGAAGGCTAAGCCTAGAAAATTTACTTTTAGCGCCTTCTTGGGACTAAAAAATTCAAAAAACATTTCCAAAACTCAAAAAATATGTTTTGTTTTTCTTATTCTTTTCCCCCAAGAACTGTTGTCCAATTTGCCAAGTGTACTGTGAATATCGAATAAGCTTAAGTTCTAGGCTTTCGTCAGATCCTATTAACACCCCACGCACAAAAAGAACGCCACCAGTTCGAAAAAAAAACAGCCAATCGAAAATTGGAAAAGAGTAATGAACGCAAGTAATTACAAAAAAACACTGACTTTGTAAAAAAAAATCTCAACGTTCGAAACTCAAGGAAAAAATAGATGCCCATTAAACTCTTTGAATTTCTAAACCAATTTTTGACTGGCGCTTTTTTGATAACATGGACCCAACTGGAGAAAACTGGATCAATAGGTAAAGTCCTCTGGAAATCTAAAAACTAAATTCCACTTTCGAAACTAGAAATCGTTTACGTTTTTTGCGCCGTTTCAACACTCGTATTTGGAGAGTGCTATTTACGTCACTTTCAGCAGATAAATTTCAATTGAACTCAAAAAGTGCATTTATACCTAAGTGTATATACCTATCAATATTTCAAGACTTTTTCCCGGAACAAAAAAAAAATCAGCAAGATCTATATAAGTCTTCACTACGTTCATTACTCTTAGCCAAGAAAAAAAACTAAGTACATTTTTTCAGAATACGGCCAAAACATTCTGTGCCAATTGCACAGCAGCCAGCTATCCTTGTTTTAAATATTAATCAAATGGTCTTCTCAGCACTTGGGAACACTTGTTCCATTTACTATCTTAGTCTGTATTTTGATCTATTCCATAAAACGTATTCCCATGTCGAGCTGCAATTCGTAGGTTTTAGATTTAATCACAGCTCAGTTGAAAATTGGTTTCAATAGTTATTGAATTCCAGGCACCGATACTAATTTAAATTTAGATATTGTCTTGCACGCATTTTTTAGCTGAACAATACCGTCTCACGTAAATTATCTTGAAAAAGAAACTAATAGAATTTTTCGAGCAAAACAACATCAAGGTTAAAAGAGAATTAAACTAAGCCAAAATAAGCGTCAGAACCCGAAATAAAAATTTCTCTACTGCGTACTACTCGGCATGTATAATTTGAATGGAATTTTTATGGTAATTTTTTACAGCGAAGGCACAGTGGCTTTGTAATGAATTACATCAGCTATAATTACACATTGTTCATTGCATACTTGACACCAAACTTCTGGCGAGCCTAATTTTAAAGCCACTTAGAATATAGGTTTAAAGAACAACGCCAGAAGAAAAAAGAGCTAAACTAAAACCACAACTTGAATTAGATTCGGACAAAGTTTCAAAGTTTTCTTTTTTCTTCGTAGATATGTAGTGCTGCTCTGCTATCTGTTTGTATTGTAAGCACGCTAGTTGTCCTTTGGAGAGATTTGGGCATTTTGGGTCAAGATTTAGGACGAAACACCAGGATCGTCATCAAACCGTCTCTGAAACAAAACAAATGCCATGACTCAGCGATCTAATCATTTCTTATATATTCATTCAACACTAACGCCAATTATACAATAAGCTCGGTTTTTATTTCACTTAGGATACTAATTGATACAGAAGAAAGATGTACCTAACGCTTCTCAATGCTTTTTCTAAAGTAAAAAAATTGCGTAATAAAAATCAAAATTGTTACTGGCTGCATAATTTGATTCTAAGAAACCCCATCCGTCATATAACTTATTGAAAATGGGGACCTATACGTACTACTTCTGAGGAGCCAATGTGAACAATTTCCGAGGTCTTGTCAAGCTGCAAAACTTCATTTCAGCGAAATTCTCAAAACATTTCAATGCGTCCCCAAGTGCTCTTATGGTAAAATATGATATTCTACGCAGAGGTGGAGCCTAGCTTCGCACCACTTGCGATACAATGCAAAACAGCCACGAAATCGAGAAAAAAATCAGAAATGCCGAAATCTATGAGAAGAGTATCAAAAGCTCGCACCAAGACAAAAAAAGGTAAAAATAGAATCAGAAGAAAAATTACCAAGTTGTAAACAAGACGAAAATACCTGAGAGGAAACCTTTGAAGCCGCAAAAATTCGAAAAAATGGCTTTAAAAACTAATGAAAAGTTTATATCCCCCATTCTCCTCAATGCAAAAACTTTTTTCGCTCATTGGACGACAAAACATGAGGCAAATAAGTCGATATAAAAGAGGCCGAAACTTATCAACGTGAGAAAAAAAGAAAAAAAAAATTTAAAAAAGACTTAAAAACTAACAAAAAGTTGTAAAAATCCCATCCCCTTGATTACACACACACTCACACACAACAACAGTTTTTTTTTGCTTATTACAGGCCGCAATATGAGGCCAATAAGCCGAAATAATATAGGCCGAAACTTATTAAACCGAAAAATTTCCAAAAAAAAATGAAAATAAAAAAAACGAGTTGCTGAAATTACAAGCAACCTAAAAAGCAAATTTCGAATAGGACGGATATTCAAAAATATAACATGCTCATAATATGTCTGTTGCAGTTTCTAACAGAGAGACGACTGGTGCAGTTTAGAGATCATCCTGTCGACTAAGTTGTTTACGGGAAAAAGCCTTGTACCCGATTGCAATACCTTTGCTTATCGCAAGGGTAATTATCAACACAACAGAGCTTGAAAATCAAATTGGTCAAATATATGTTTTTAAAAATACGTAACTCCTCGCTTTGCGTCGTCATTTTCTGATCAAAAACAGATCGTATACGCGTTTTTGAGACATTTGGGGAAAACTCGAGGATATGCGTTGTGATATTCGCTCAACAAGGTTGTTGTCTTTGGCGGCAACAACCTAGCTTAACTGTTTATTACCTTGAAATAGTATTTCCTTAACTACTCCTGTGACCTGTGATTTTTTTTCATTGTTAAGGACTAGAGCAATTTGCATTTCGGCAGCATACAAAAAAAATAACTGAATAAAATCCAACCGCAATAAAAAACTGCAATGAAAAAACAAGATTTTCTTTGGATTATTAATGCTTAAACCATCTTTGGAGCAATTTAAATATCTTGAAGCTCTAACCGATGGTCCAGGAGCATCTCCACTACCACCGCCACTGCCACTTGGTCCCGGGTGGTCTGAACTTCCACCCGATGGTCTAGAGCTGGGCCCCGGTTTCTCATCCTTCGATCGCCTCAGACTGCGAGGTCTAATTAGGAATAGAACTGTAGCTACTAACATCCACATCATGGCCATCATGAAGAACGACATGCCTTGGTCAGCGGGTGCGGATCCCGCCTCCGGTCCAGGTAACTCTTGGAGGCACTCTGTGTCTGTGCAGAAGTTCTGGGACTCTCGCAGCTAAAAATTACACAATGTTGCATGAAAAAATACATGTATTGCCTGTATTATCCTTCAATAATTCTGCTTCATAACGCCAATTAGACTGCGATAGGTCCAAAATTTTCAATTAACTGGCAATTTTCCTGAAATCAATATTTCATCATTTTAAAAACAATTTCTGGTGTTTATTGTTCCGACTTTCGATACGAAATTAACGGAATATTTGTGCTCGGGGTGGGTTTTTTTTTCTTCAGACAAATTTCGACTTTTTAACTAGCCATTTTTGACAGAATTTTTTATATCATTCGGAAGCCATTGTTGTCCTGAGCTTAAATTTGAAAAGATATTTCACCAGTGATCATTTTTCGTAAAGTTATGAGGGTTTAAAGATTGCCATTTTGACCAATTTGGGACAATTAACGCGCGATATAACTCGCGCTATTAACGCGTAAGCGGAGATTTAATCCGTCTTAGAAATCGTTCTAAATTGGTTGAAAGAAGCTTCTTTGCCATAATTGATTTGTTACAAGGAGCGAAATCTATTGTTTTGTACTTAATATGGCGTATGGGGGGATGATTTTCATAGAAAAATTTTCAAATTTTAGAAAAAAAGTTCTTCATTTTATTTTGTTTCATTTAATTTTTTTATGTTGTTTATGTTATTACTGCTCCATAAACGTTAAAAGGCAGTCGGAACTATCAGGGCTTCGCCCTGATACGAGCAGTCTTGTTACTATTTAGTTAACTCAAACAAAAGGATCAGACCTCTCGAAAATCGTTGAGTATCGTATAAAAACAGGAATATGAGAAAATAGCTTTGTGCTGAAGCTGATTGAGTTTCTACACCCTTCTAAGGTTGATTTTACAAAAAAAATTAATAAGTATCTTTTCATTCTGCACGAATTTTCTTCAAACATAAGACTCACATTTCAATTTAGATGTTACGCCATTTAGCATAATGAAGACCAATTTTCATACGACAAATAATTGTAAAAAGTGATGTGAACTACGTACATAAAAAGCCAAATAAGAAATTGACAAAACCAAAGACAACATATAGTCCAGACAGTTGCGAAACTGTTATTGGACTCATGTAGAACCAAAAACAATTTCGGATCCGATGTTTTTCCGATCTTCTTTAACATCAAACTTCATGAGAAAGACATCAGCTTAAAAAGATCCTTGAATTACAAGAATCTTTCATGAGTGACACTTATTCAATAAGAATGAACCAATTTGATAAATCTCAATCTTAAATTTTCATGAAATTGTCTCGATTTATCTTCATTTCGATGAAAATAAGCAAAGAAACACGATCACCACTACCGTTAGATAAACATTCAAAATCATTTAATGCGCGGCGAGTAAGCCGACAATAATTAAGTGGACGCCAGTTGAGCCGATAAAAAAATGATACAACATACGAGCTTAAGCTTTTAAAATACGAGGTATTTATGCCCATTTTTTGAAACACACAAAAGCACAACAATCGTTTTTTTGCCATGCGTTCTACAGAAAGCCGACAAAATTCGTATGCAAACGATAGTCCGACAAGAGAAATTTTCCAAAAAAAAATATTTACAGACCTTGACAAAAGCGAGGTCCGGCCAATTTTTGAACCTGAGACCTGTCGCCTGTAAAAATTTTGCTTTAATGTATAAAAAAATCTTTGTTTCTAATCTGATTTCAAGTTACTTGCTTTCACAAATAAAAAAAATGTCAAGAACTTAAGGAAACCACATGAGATGACTGCTTTTTGTCCGTTTCATTTTCAACTTTGAGCTTCATAAAACGCAACGCCTGGAAGATCTTCGATTTAAACAATCATTGATTATCGACACGTTTCCAATCATGCTCACACAAAATAGGAAAACTGAATCAATAGCAACTTTAATTCTATGGGGAAAAATCGAGAGTGAAAACCATTTTCATAGTCGCAATCCATTTTTCGTGCTATTTGAATTATTATTGTTGCAGAGAGTAAAATGCCTGACATATAGCATATGAAAAATTGTTTCTAAACGATCAAACGTGAGATCACCAAAACTTGTTGAGCGTGAACAAAATACAATTTTTTTTTCTAAAAAAAGTGACACGACCTACACAAGTGAAAATTCACTTCAATAATTAACACTAAATATGCTTTAAAATAGCGTGAAATTACAAAGTATGATTTTCAAATATCAAAAAAATAGTTGACTACTGTACAACTAGCACAAAAAGAAAATGATTTTCAAACTAAAGCAAGCGTAAAAAACTTAAAACTCAACAATGAAATGCACAAAAAATGCTAACCATAAGCTAATATGGCGTGAAATTCTAGTTGAATTAAATTTGGATATCCGTCTCTTAATAAACTCCTGTATAATTTCTTTCCAATTAAGTCGGAAAAATGATGTGACAAATTTCTGAATTTTTTCCTGGAATACGAAAAAAGGGTTTAATGAGCTTTAATATGACACCACACTTGACACCATGCTGGCTTTCTTCAAAGCAGTCAAACAGGCAAGAAAAAACACCAACATATTTCTTTCACACCCAGAGGACAATTAAATCAGATTGCAGTTCACTCAATTTTCTCACGCCCACGCGCTTTGATTTAGTCTACACAGAAGCGAAACTTCACAAACACTAGCGAGAACACGACAAGAGGCAGCTCTAGAAAGTGTAATAAGAAAAAACATAAATAAGCCTCGAATTAGCAAAAATTCAGCTAGGACTAGGATTCGATCTGCGACCTACTGCAATCAAGAGATTTAGAGTCTCACGCTCTAACCACTCCGCCACACACCTTTAACCATCGCCAAACACTAGTCACGAATAAAGCAGCTACATATGCTAATAAATTGCCAATGCAATTCGGCAAAAAAGGCACCAAATACAAAAAGACACAATTTTGCAAGTAAAAATTTGGAACCTAACAAACTGAAGGCCAGGGTTGGGTTTTAAACAAGTTTTTTAAATAAAAAACGTTTAAAACGTATAAAATTCAGATTTTTAACTACTTTGTCAGAATTATACCACACATTCTTGGCTGACAAAAAACATGGAACCAATCAGCCTCAGTACACAAACAATATCTGAAATGATGGACCGGTAACCGACAATGTTTGTTCAAGTCAAACAATTCATCCCTTGGCCAAGTGACGAGACTTCCTATCCAAACATACAATGCTTACAAACATATAGCTTGCTTCATATTGTTGCAGTATGACTTAATATAAAACAATAATTAAAAACATGAATAAAAAACACCTGTTTTAAAACATGTTTTAAAACCCCCATGTTTTAAAACAGCCAACCCTGCTGAAGGCATCCACACTAATTTTGCATGCAACAAATCGCAAAGCATAAAACCACTTTATGTATATATTATGCATTTCAAAAAATTGCGAGATATATCGATTCAGAAAAATATCTGAAATCGAATTTTTCTTATTGTTGTTGTTTGAAACAAATAGCTTTTTTTCGGTTCATTTGATGAATTAAAAATGCAGCAACTGTATAACCTTATTATTATTATTCGAACGTCAAAGCTGTAAAGGTGTCCCAAAAGTGGCACCAATAAGCAAGTAAAAAAATTCCAATATTTTGACCAGTTGCTTGAAAAGTGAAAAAACTATTCTAATTCGGACTGACTGAATAGGATCTTATCAGATATCACACTCAATCACCGATAAATTTTCTTGGTATCAAGGGTATCGAAAATCACGTGAAAAACGCTCAACAAGCTATAATACCTCTGAAATTCTAAAGGAATTGTCGGATTTAAAAGATTGCACATTTGCCGCAATTTAAGAATCATGTGGCTTCATAGAAGCTTATAACTTCATATCATCTACTGCTTCCATTCTACAAAGATTTTGACAGCTAATCCAAGTTCTTCTAAATATAAAGACATTTATTGTTCAGTCATTTACCTCTTTTCATTCTCAAAAAGTTGTAGCAGTCTCACTAAGAAGTTAAAATATTTTACATTTGTTTAATTATGACATTTTTAGTCAAACTAATTTCCGAAACCATAACACAGACATTCATACAAGCTTTTTAAGCCATTGTTAATTCAAAGTGTGTTCCTAAGTCCTTTTCAAGCCTCAACAATAGAATAACAATGAGGCATTAAAAAGCTCTAATTTTTAGAGGGAACAAAAACAGCATTTGCATTTCCAGATGTTCCGCCAAACTGAATTGAAGATAGAATGACACGCAAGGCAGAGTCTTTGATAAAGTCTGATCCAAACGCTGAGTTTCAAAGCTGGTTTTCAATATTAGTTCTTAACTCGCAAAGTAGTTTTTAAATTGAACAAGACTGCTCGTATCAGGGCGAAGCCCTAAAGTTCCGACTGCCTTTTAACGTTTATGGAGCAGTAACAACATAAGCAACATAAAAAAAATTAATGGAAATAAATAAAATGATAACTTTTTTTTCTAAAATTTGAAAACTTTTCTATGAAAATCATCCCCCCACACGCCATATAAAGTAGAAAACAATAGATTTCGCTCCTTGTAACAAATCAATTACGGCAAATAAGCTTCTTTCATTCAATTTGGAACGATTTTTAGGACGGATTAAATCTCCGCTTACGCGATAATAGCGCGAATTATATCGCGTGTTAATTGTCCCAAATTGGTCAAAATGGCCAAAATTGCAATCTTTAAACCCTCATAATTTTACGAAAAATAATCACAGTTGAAATATCTTTTCAAATTTAAGCTCAGGACAACAATAGCTTTCGAATGATAAAAAAAAAATTCCGTCAAAAATGGCTAGTTAAAAAGTCGAAATTTGTCTGAAGAAAAAAAAACCCACCCCGAGCACAAATATTCCGTTACTTTCGTATCGCTTTCTGTGTACCGCCTGCACAAGTCAAGTAGGTAAATTGGGAAAATTGGAAAAAAACATGTCTCATTAACCATAATCAGTAAAACTGGTCTGAACAATTTACTTCAAAAAACGACAGAGCTTGCACTACCAGAGCAACTTATCGTAGAAAGCGGAACACGCAAAACCGCCCAAT